GTCTAAAATCAACCCTAAGATTGAAGTCATATCCTTGTCACATATGTGATCCATATGTTGTAACAAACATCCTACACATTATGTTAGATATGCACTCATGTACAGAATTGAATGTACACATTTATCCCATTATGCTATGATTATTATACTGGTCGAATACACGTAGGGGCCAGAGGTTGCAGCACATATGAACACCTCCCTTTTCATTAGTTTTAATGGAATTTATATCATTTTGTACGGCAGCTAACCCCACGGCACCACATAAAAGCTGATGTTTAATGGTTATTTATGATCCGATAGTACCAAGTTGTTCACTGATAATATATATATATATATATATATATATATATATGATCTGCATTTTCATTTTTCTCATATATAGGGTTTGGGTTGGGTACACCATATCATATGTGTAGTTGATGACTTGGACGTACACTGGCTGAAACTTATTAAGTGATTAGGTGTTTTTGCAAATAACGGACTAAAACTTCCATTAGTTATTTGGCCGATATGTTATTTTGATCCTTCTAACTTTGATTTTCGGTTAGATTGTAACTTTAGTATCCCAAGTTAATTAGTTAAGCCTAATTTTGAGGTTAAAATGGTCATTTCAGGCACCATCGCCTGAATTCATTTTTCACAAACTGTCGTGCCATTGGAGGCAAAATTTCAAAAATGGTCCACTATGTTTGGCTATTTTTCAAAAAAGGTCTATCATCTAGGGCGTCATCAAGAATGGTCCACTAAGTTGCAAATTTAATCAAAATTCGTACAATAACCAACATAGCGTACTAAAAGTGATCATTTTTAGTTGCCATATTTAGTACAATATATTGACTTTTGTACGAGTTTTGATTAAAATGACAACTTAGTGGATAATTCTTGAAGACATCTTATATAATGGACAATTTTCAAAAAATGGTCAACATGGTGTACTAAAAATGAAATTTAGCCTGCAGCCATTAGATTTCAAACGTCCAGGCGAACATTATTCTCTAAATATTTCACAACAATCCCAATCAAGAAGACCATACGTTTTTTGATAAAAGTTAAAATCACACGCACACAAATTTCCCTGGATTTTCACTTCCATTTTCTGGCAAATTGTGCCTTCATAAAAATTGGACACAAATACAGCTTCCCCGCATCACTGTGGTCTTTTCATCAGTTTATGCTAAGGTGAATAGCCATACGTATTGAATTAATGCATAAACTGATGTCACTATACTACATTGTCTCTATTTATTGTTTTTGCTGTAGAATTTTATTTGGAATTGTTTTCCCACCAATACTGTTGGAAAAATTATCGTTGTCATCTTTAAAATCTAACATAATTCAAGAATTAACATTTCCATTGGAATTTTTACAACACAAGATATAACATCGTATTATCAATTAAAATTACTGCTGTAATTTTATATTGTCATCGAAATTATAATAATTTTCTAGTAGAGCATTAGTTTGATCACATTTTAGTGCTATTTCGTAGCAGAGTAATATCAAGCTCATATAAAAGAATAATTTGATTTTATGGAGGCCCTATGGCTTCTTCTTAACATCATTAACACTAAAATCTTTGGGGACATTAAAATACGAAAGGTATGCTGGTCCTGAAATGCATGCATAAGTTAGGTGGTCCTAAGATGCTATAAAGTATAAACCATGTGTTGTGTTGGGTGTGATATCAATTGAGTAAAAAGGACCATTACATAACTCTTCGTCATTGTCATCAAAAGGTCACAAATAAATGATTATCAGTTTTCTTCTATAGCCCCAAGTTTAGAAAAGTTAGCTAGGGGTGGACCATTAATTCTTGGCCATCTGTTGTTAGCGACCCAGGACCCGATCGACTTGGATCCTACACAGATGTTAGTGGACCTTTTAGACTGGGTAACATAGGACTCGATCAAACCCTGTCGACCCAGATACTGATCGGGGTTGGTCAACCTAGTTTGACTTGGTAACTGTATTTTTTTAATACATATCTTTTTATTTAAATTTTGAAAACAAACTATGTGTGTGTGTATATATAGAATTGGGATCCAATGAGAAATGAAGAAAGTGAAAAGAAATAAGAATAATTTTGATCCATGAGATCAATCATAATGGTTATGATGAAGTCAAACTATAGTCAATCATTAATAGCAATCTGGTAATTATGTGATCATATTGTGATCAACATTCACCCGATCTGCCTCTGGCGTCAAGACTTGATTCATCCCCGACAAACTGATCCTAGAGCTAACCAACACTCTTCTTCCCTATTAGACCATCCATGTGGTGGCCCAGCTCCAAAAGGTGTTTTGGCCACCCACACCTCCTCCAAACTCTCATCATGGTTCTTTCTCTGGCTCTAGTCCGTCATAGTCGTCTTCTCCATCTTAGGTTCCTCTAAAAACGATAGACAAACGGTAAATGTTCCTACAGACAGCGCCTCGTCCTTACACTGATTTGCTCCTCAAAGACCTGCAAAATACGTCGGGAGGTATTCCCGGCGTAAAACTTCAAACGATCAAGTCAGTGAAAGGTTATGGGAAGCTGCATGTAGCTAGTTGTATACTTGTATATAATTGTATTGTAAAGCTTAGAGTACATAGAGTGATTAACCTCATTTCGTTCATACCTCTTCCCTATTTATATTGAATCCTTGGCTTCTTAAACAGGCTTTGCCCTACTCGGTTACACGAAGATCAACCCTAGTGCCCGAAATGCCCGAGGACCTGTCCGACGGTTATATGGCTACCCTGAGGTCTGCCCGAGACCCATTTTTATTTGTAGGATCAGTCAGATCTTTCTCGTATAGCCCTACATGTGTCCCATATGAACTCCGACCTACTGAGATATCGACACCACTCTACCTTAGCTACTTCATGCTCGAGCTGCTACTATACTATGTGTTCCGAGCTATTGTGATACTATGTTGTCCGAGCTACTATCATACTATGTTGTCCGAGTTGTCATATGTTCGAGCTACTGACTACTATGTTGTCCGAGCTACTGACATGCCATGGTCCGAACTACTTAGGACCCGCTCACTTAAGCTAGCTGAGACCTACTAACTCGAGCTACTTTGGGACCGACTAAATCGAGCTGACTGTAACCGTTTTTTCCGAGCTACACTATATGTTATATTATATATATTTCGAATTAGAAAGCTTAGAGTGACCTTTTCTTTTTTATGAGAGTTTTCGGACATTATAATTTCTGTCTGTGTATTTATACCACATAAATCATAATAGACCATCGACCTGAGCTCTTCATCAGTTGTTGAGGGGGCACATTATGCTCCACAATATTCATTGCCCAGAAACTGGCGCTATTTTCTGTGGACCTGTGGTCACGGATTTTGACTGTAATGGAGTACTATCATACACTTTAAAATGGAAATAAATATTAAAAAAAAATGTTTTTAGTTGACAAAAAAGCTATTTTTTGACATTTTAATATAGATATGAACTCCTACTTCTGCTTCTACTTCCATTTCCACTACGTTGCATTTTTATTCTCAATTTTAGGTGCACTAGTGCTAAGAAAAGTGACTTCATAATATTAGAGATGTATTTTGTATTATTTTGTATTTTATTATAATTAGATCAAGTGTATTTTAGCATATCATTTTATATCTTATTCTTACACTTAAAGTTGTTATTATATCAATAACAACTCTTATTGTAGCTTAGTATAAATACTCTACAACATGTAACCCTAATTTACTTTTCCATTTTATCTCAATACGCAGTTTTTCTTTCTCTCTCTTGTTCTCTGTTTCTCTCTCTCTCGTTCTTCTCTTTCTTGCTTGATCTCGATCTGTAAATCTAGAATCAAACACATAATAACAATTAAGCAAATTAAGATGTTAGGATGTATAATGATTTGACAACATACTTTTTCAACAAATTTATATACTTCCATATATTTCAAGGTCATACTCTCAAAAACAACATAACAAAATTGATAATTCATAATACAAGGATGCATTTCAAGATAATTCATAATATGCTGGTAGTGGTAGGGGATTAATTGATTGGATGTGGCTCTATTTCATTCAATTCCACCCATATCCCACATGGATTTTAATTGAATTCAATCTGTGAGAATCACAAACTTCCTAATTGGAATTTCAGTTAATTCAGTCGATAAGAATCAGAAACTTCTAGCTTTTGGATTTTCAATAAATTCAATCTATAAGAATAACAAACTTCCCAATTGGAATTTTAATGAATTCAATCTATAAGAATCACAAACTTCTGGTTTTTGAACCGTTTCAAAAAAATATGCTAACTGGGCTCCGAACCATTGTCTTCAAGTTCTTGTTCTTTGGAAGTTCTATCTCATGTAGGGCCTACTAGGCTTGAAGTTCCCCACATAACCATAATTATTATTTCACTAATTAGAAGCTCATCATCCAGAGTCATATTATTTTAACTTTAATTTTGACTGATTAATCTTTTGAATGGAGTACAATTGAAATATTTTATGCATCAGTTGAATAAAAGAAATCTCTAACAGTACTACTATGCACGAGTGTTATAAATCACGTCTAAAGTTTCTGACCTGAACAAGTGCAAAAGACCCCAACAGGATTTTTTAGATACACCGGTAGATTTGCCTAACACGGTACCGACTTTACCAGCCTAGAGACTACAACTACAAGTAAGCTAAAGGAACACAAAATGCTAATAATGATTTCTAAATAGTACGAGAAAAAACTGTTTGAAAAGCCATTAGATTAATAATCGTCAGTGAAAACTTCAAAAATTTAATGTTTAAGCTAAAGAGGTAGAAATAAATTAACCAACGAGCATTTTGCCATTGAAAATCAGAGAAAAACTTTCACAGTGATATAGCCAACATAATTCTTGATACTAATTTCAGCAACTCTCTTGCGCATTTAAGAACCAAACGCCGTCCAAAATCATCATAAGAACAGAAAAATTAGATAATAAAAGATTTTATACAAGACACAACTGAACATCAGTTCATCAGCGCAGTTAAAAGCTACACAGAAAAAANAAAAGAGGCCAAGATGATAAGTTTAAGACACCCTCTTAATCACTTGTCTATTGTTACATTATTACAACTTACGACTGATGCAGGCTCGGAGAACGCCTTCTCACTCTATAATTGCCACCTGGCGGAGGCACTCTTCTCTCGTTTCTGTCCCTGTGTGGAGATGCAAAACCATGCACCACTAGTGGATCCGACATAGGCTCGCTTTTTGTTCTCGGGAACTGGTCGAGATTTTGTTGGTCCTTGTTGTCTCCATTAAAGAGCCCGTTTTTATTAAATTGGTGTTCGCCTCCAGAAGTGAGTGTCAAATTCAAGGACTTCATTTTACGAAGGTTTATCTCTTGTTGGTTGTCATCGTCACACATGAAGCTACTGTCCTGCATGGCGAGATCATCGTACTCCTCGTCCGATTTTGTAGATTCCTCGTCCACAGACCCCTCCAGCTGATGACACAAACTTAAGCAATTAGAAAGTGAAGTAATGTTTTTTATAAACAGCATATCTTGAAGCAAAAATGAAGTCGGGTCTTCGAAACTTTTCGTAATTATATTAAACCTCAAGAAGTTTAATTAGAGAAAAAAACCAACAAATTAGTGTCACTAAATAATATAAAAATTAATTTAGAATCTTTACTTTTCCAACAGCAATGATTGTAATTTCTGGAACTGTCTTAATATTGTGATAGCCCCATCTTTGTGTTTGGAAGACTTGTCTAAACAATACAAATTCAAAAAGGACGCATTATTTCTTACCTCCTCTTGCAGTTCCTTCTGCCCATGACTAAAATCGTCGTCACTGTCTACCTCCAACGGCTCATCGACCTCCTCTTCATCACTACCATGCACAGACATTTCTTCCTTGAGCTACAAAAAAACAAAGAATAATTCCCCCGACAGCGCACCAAAATGAACCACGTTTCCCAGTCCAAAAGCAAATGTCACAGCCATATATACATTCTGAAATACACATAACACTACATTCTGACACCAAACCACCATCACNCACCAAAAAAAAAAAAAACTAACCTCTTTGGCAGGTCCATCAGATATCCTGGGCGAGCTCCCACACGACGAGTAGTACCTACTCCCATTATCAGTCAGCTCACCCCTCGACTCATCAACACTGCTAGCATGGCTCGTGCCCCCATTATCCCCAGGCCAAGCACTAATCCCAAAGTGACCAAACTGCAGGTTAACGGGCTCGGCCCTCCCGACACGCAGCGGGCCATAAACCGGCCCGTCCCCTGCCACGTCAACCGGCCATGCCCTGGCCACGGAGCCATCACCATTGATAAGGGCCATGAGATGCCTAGTGGAACCCTGCCTCTGAATAAGCTGGAACATTCCTTTAGAGCTCAACGAGTAGGCCACACACTGGCTACGGTACTCCTCATCCACAGCAGGCACTGTGTTCGTGACGGGGTCGTAAAGGGGGTCGGTGGATTCGCGCCGGCGAAGGCAGCCGAAGACAGTGGCGTGGATGATTGCGACGCTTCGGTCGACGTTGGTGTTGTTGATTTTGGGGACGAGGTGCTTGTTGGCCCGATTGCAGAGGTACTCTTGTATGGTGCGGATGTTGCGGATGTATTTCACGTAGCGGTTGCGGGCCGGATCGAGAGTCATGTACTTGGCCCGCACGGCGAACCTCTCCAGGTGCTTCTCCTCGTTCGAGATGTAGATCATGAAGGGTATGATGGAAGGGTGCTTTTTCATGAGCCCCATCTGTTGGGGTGATAAAACGAAAAAAATTAGAGTTGATTAGCTTGTGATTTACACGAGCGAATTTGGTTGAGGGAAGTGGTCAAGAAAACAATTTGTGTAATTAGAAAATAGTCTCAAATCAACTTGTAGGAAAAGTTTTGTGTTAAATTTGTAAGTTGAATGTAAATGAGTTTCGCACTGAAAAAAATTGGTGTTCACTAATCATTATAGACTCTGCATGTTGTGTCGACTTTTTTTGTCTTTGTCTGTAGAAGATCACAATACTTGTATATATAGTATTTAGGAGCAAACATGCCGGTATGCTTGGTTCAATGAAGGGGAGGTGAGGGAGAGGATTTTAATGGAGGGAAGATGAAGGAAGGGGAGGAAATGTAAAATAACATTACCTTGTTTGGTTGGTTTCCTTAGGAGGGGAGGGGAGGGGAGGGAAAGATGTAAACCGTATTTTGATAAAATTTAAGGGGAAGGAAAATAAAGGGAGATTGACTATTTTGCCTATGAGAATAAAAAAAAGTTATAATTTAAATAACAGGGAGATAGTTTTGATCAAAGCTATAGTGTATACTAATTCCTGAGAAAGCAATAGCATGGTATTTACCACAAAATTGAGACTTAAGTGGACGCCCTCCACCACAACCGATTCTTTCCTTTCTTCCCACGCGGTTATAAGTCGATCGAGGCTGTCAATTACCATCTCGCTTTGTGCTTTGAATCCCTCAACAGCCATCTGCTTCGGACTAATTAAATCGCAGGTCATTGCATTGCCTTCGGATTTTCCACTCGTGGGATTACTGAGCCCTTCATCTTTAGCTAGTGAGGCAGCAGAAATGTTGGGTTTCTTCTTGGCCTTAGCTTCTGCGACTGCAACTGGATCCAAATGTTCACCGGCATGGTAAGTTGAAGCCCAGAGTAACGGGTTTTGTTTCTCATCGGAAAAACTCCTCATCATATGGCGAATTGAGTCGGTAGATATAACAGTAGTAATACCTAACCTGCTACCCTGCAATTACATTGATGGATTGTAAATCTGGAGACGTATTTCTGGAATTAATGATTCACCAGTGAATAAGGTTAATCTAGGTTAACCCAAAGAAGGATAAAAGTTAATGATTATGCAAGGACAGCTTATATTTTTGAACAAGCAACCAACACTTGTTTGACCTTCTATCCAATATATTAAATTTGGAAACTAGAAGTTGATGTGGGATAACAGTTCAAGATATGAACAATAGTAAAAAAAAAAAGCCAAATAACGCAACCATAAGAATAGGCAGAGAAGCTAAAAGATTTAAGTGGTAACCTACCAATTGGACAAGTTTGATGCAGCAGTTCATATCATAAATAATTCTTCAAGCAAAGACACTCTGTTACTGTTACTAGTCATTTTGAAACAATTTGAGAAGAGAATATATGATGAATAGCAAACTAGAACTCAGAGATAATCTCAACATGCAAGATAGAAAATGGAACAACCATAGATATCTTGCAAAATCTGAATACAAATGAATTGCCAATGAAAAATAACATATGAAAAACTGACACCGTGGCGAAAACGAACATGTGAAACCATGGAGGAAATAACTCACAAGTAAGGCAGATAAAGTAGACTTTCCACAGCCACTCGTACCACAGAGTAAGACAGTCACAGATTCCTTTCTTTCTCTGATTCTGAAATGAAAAAAGCAGAGAATAAGAGAACACGGATCACATGATTCCACTCAAACCAGCATATATAGTAATCACATTGTCAATTGTCCACACTAGTAACAGGCAAGCATACAAAATTCTAAGGCATGGACAAGAAGATTAATTTCAAATAAAAATTATGCATAAACAGTTATCAACATTGACATTACTAAAAGGAGCACCTCTGCCTATCTTTACCATTCTGAGTCTTTCCACCATTAAGAGAAAATCAGTACAAGGAAAAGTTTATAGAGAGAGGAAAAAAAGTGCAGCACAAATGTACACCAGAGAATTTCTACAGTAAAGAGAAGATAATTAAACAAGTTTTCCCTCATTAAAACTCAGTATATCACACTATTAGGATTTGTCATTCCGCCCACCAGTCATCACTTTACTCTTTCTAGCAGTATATTCATGTTTTGATCAGGAACCATCAAATTCAACATTGGTAACAAGATTAACAACTAGAAAAGCAAAAACCACTTCATATATATATATATATATATGNTCAACAAAAAAGAACCAACCACATCTAGAAATATTGACAAATATTATTTTATAACAGAAATTACCCATTCACAAATTAATCCCAGAAAAAATATATACTTTCAGATGGGAATGTATGCCAATTCTACCTGCAAGCTAATACTAGATCAGCCCTCTGATTTGGACCCACATACTTGTACTCTGAGAGAGCATCACAAACCACATCTAGAAAATATTTTCTTCCAACAACCAAGGTTGTGCGTCTTTTGTACAATTCGAATGGTTTGCTTTTTCTCGCATCTTCTGCCACAGATGAATGATCAACTTCTTCTTTGTTCAAACTGGATGGAAAATAGTACTTATTCTCCCCTTGAGAATACAATTTAGCAGCCTGCGGTGAAACCTCTACACATTCTGAGACGAACTTCTCCAGGAAGTACTTGCGTTTCATCACTTCAAATACCCTTTGGCTAATCTGAACAATTTAAAAGTTTCAGTACTCATTGTGACTTACAAATTAGTGATGTGTGCAAAAAAGAGCATGAAACAAAATACAAGGCGGCCATAATGCAACTTGCAGAAAATACATTATTGACATGCAATGAATTCCGAATTCGGATGCATAAGGTCACTCGGTAATATATTTGTACAAAATGCAGGGTAATTGTACAATTTTTGGTACCATTGGTTGGCTCTAACAGATAATTCATCCTACTAACAATTACTCCCAATTGCAAATATCACAACCGCTCCAAGTCCAAGCAAAACAATTTTTAGAATGATTGTAATTATAATCAATTAAGAAAGGTAAAGTATCCAGGAATTGTGCATCCACATGTGAATGGAGAGAATCAAGGAAGAATCTATCATACTTTAATTCCACCCAAAGAAAGGATGAGGACACACACACACACAGAGAGAGAGAGAAACCGCTGAGAAACACATCTATCATCCCAAAGCCGGAGATGAGGAGGCTTAAGAATGTCACAGAATGCGTCCATACTTCATAAAGAATAAGTTTAAAAATAAGAACAAGAAAAAGATGAGGAAGAAGAAAGAAATGACAAAGAAATATACTTTCATCCTCTGACTGCTCCAAACAAATAAAGGTTGCGAGATAAAACTAATTAAGAGATCATGAAAAACCCAAACCAAATACTCGTATCAACTAATCTACTACTCAGGACAGCAAAAAACATTGCAGATCAGAGGAACAGGAAAAAATAAACAAAAATCAGCAAATAGGCATGTTAAAACAAATTATCTTCTCCGAGCCCTAGAATTTTGCATCTTAATCAACGAACACAGAAACCAGGACATACTACCACCTCATGCGCGGACACGGAGACACTGTACACCCCTAACGACGAGCAACTAAGTTAAAGAGGAGCAAATTCTCATTAACTGAAACAAAAAACAAGGGAAATACAGGAGAATTTTTACTTGTTTGAAAAGAAAAAAAAAAAATCGGCAACGGCAGGGACGAACCTTAAAGGCATGACGAGCCTTGCAGCCCATGAGTTGCAGAGTACTCCGCAGAACGGAACGCGTGTACCTAAAAGATGGCGAACCCTTATTCCCGGCGGCCGCCCCAGCCGGCGCCGCGGGGTCATCCTCCACGACCACTACGTACAGAAGCTTCGCCGCCCCCTCCGCCGCCAGCATTTCTCGAACCTGCACCCAGCCACATGCACAAACGAATTAACTCCAAATCAACGCAGCTCAAAAAACACAGATCAACACCCATCGTTCTCAATCAAAGACAACAATCACAATCCCAATGCAGGTCGCCAAAATAACGAATCCACAAACCTTGCAGAGAAAAAGCCTCTGAGACCTCCTTAGGGTTCTTCTAACAGTGAATGCAATGGGACTCGTACAGAAAATGAAGGATGAAGAAACGAAGAAGAATCACCAGAGGAAGGGGAAAACGACGCCGTCTCGGAGGCAATCCGGCCATTTGCACCGCCACCTAACTTCCGCGAATCTCAGTTTCCGGGGCCTCCACGGCTGTTGTCTTTCTTTGTATATAAAAATCGAATCGGCATGTGCGTAAAATTATGACGGATTTAGCCCTCGTACAAGGTAGAAATCACGGGGAGGGCCCTGAGTGGACATTTATAAGCAGCACATGTAGGTGTGATGGCAGGAATCGTAATTCCGTGCAGATAATGGGGTGCAAATGGAATAGCAGGACAAAATTAGCCTTTAGCTTTTTCCTTTTTTTTTTTATTTAATTATTACATATTCTTGTTTGTAAATAAATGAACGTGGAAAAGGAATCTCTCTATTTAGAGACATGAAAATGCCATCAATGTGAATTATGTCTTCTCTCAGTGTAGACAAGTTTCTGTAACACAAAATTTAATTTTTTGAATTTAAAATTTCATTTTTGAATTTTCTTATGCATTAGGTTTAGTCTTGTCTACGTGACATATAAATAAACTCAAGTCTTGTATGACATTGATAAAATTATGTAAAATTGATAAAATTCACTCCAATGCAAAGAGACTAGGTCTCTACTTGGGTCTAAAATAGACTTAAGGTAGACCGGGTCTTTTTTCTGGCTGCCACATCAGCAATATCCAGTCTGCTTTTGTTTGTATTGGAGAATACATTTTTCTACACTAGGTTTATTTCTTATATGACATACAATTTTTTGTGATTGAACCCAAAATTTTGTGGATGCTCTTATAAACTCAAGTCTTGACATGGATAAAACTATGTAAAATTGGAAAAATTCGGTGCTACCCCTAAGAGCAGTGCAGTCATGCCCTTAGGGGGCCCTTAATTTTACGCACACCCATGTGTGTGTGTGTGTGTATATAAATCAAGGGCTAGGGGCATAACAACACTGCCCCTAGAGGTAGCATCGCCACCTGCGTAAAATTTATAAAATCCACTTCAATGCAAAGAGACTAGGTTTCTACTTGGGTCTAAAATAGACTTAAGGGTAGACCGGGTCTTTTTTTCTGGCTGTCACATTAGCAGGACCTAGTCTACTTTTATTTGCATTGGATAATACATTTTTTTAGACTATGTATATTTCTTAGGTGGCATACAATTTTTTGTGATTGAACCAAAGTATTGTGAATAGTCTAAAAGATTTATTCTCAAACTCAAAACAATATTTTTAAAATATTCTCTTTTCATCAATTTTTATAATTTTTTAATATTATCCACATATTTTACAACTTTACAAGTTAGACAACACTATTATTTTAAACTTAATTAAAAAAATATGTAATAATATCAATCATAAAATAACAATTCCTACACATGAAAATTGAAAAATAAATATTCATTAAAAATTAAAATTGACACTACTCAGTCAAAAGGAATACCTGAAGACGCACATGAAAAAATTTACTACTTTATATTTTTATTTCCAATAAGTGTGTTAATTTTTCAATTTCATGACTACTCTGATAATTTTAAGTTTTTTATATAGCATTTTGTTACAGATTTTTTTATTCTAATTAATGTCGTGTAAATTTCTAGTGTTCTTTTTTTCTTTTTAATTTTTTATAGTATGCTAATAATTACTTTATATTTGTTTGCAAAAACATGTATAAAATTAGTTATAAAGTATTAAATTATTAACAATATTTTCGTAGATTTTTTTCTCTTTATTCTAGATAACCTACTTCAAAATATTTGTAAAAATATTTTTTAATAGATAATGTCCTTCAACATATTAAAAATATCATAAGTATTTTGACACTTCTCGGATTGAATTTATTATCGGCTATATACATGTCATGATAATAAAAAAATAAATAAAATCAATAAAATTAAAAACCATGATATAACAAGAAGGATTAAACCCCTCTTTGTGTATTTTTAAAATATTAATTTAATATTAAAAAGATAGTAATAATGTGTGTGTTTTTCATAAAATTAACGTTATAAAGTAGTATATATAAATTATATATATATATATATATAGTAAATTATGTAAAGTAATGTATATGATATNTGTATGGCTTTTGAAGAGATACTCATATCCTAAACATGACACCCAAAAAAAAAATAATAATAAGTCAACCAACAATGAATTGTGAGTCGGTATGGCTTTTGAAGCGATACGAATAATATGAGTAACTATTTATCGATTTCTGAAAATTGATACATTGGTAATTGAACGACTAAGAAGTATAGGCACACTTGTGAATAGAGAAAACTTTGGCCCAACTCTTTTGATAATCAATATATCCGATTTTCGGTTGGGAGGTGTCATTTCAGAGCTTGCAGGACGAGTTTCTAACGAGGTAAATTTTATAAAAATTAAACAGCCAGATTCTAATGATTAGTCAAACAAATTAACAAATATCTAGCTTTTTTTTAGGCTACTAACCAAAATTTGACTCTTCAATTTTCATGAGACTTACCTCATTAGAAAGTTCGTTCTACAAGTTTCGAATGACACCTCCCAATCGAAAAACAGAAACCTTAATTATTAAAAATGTTGAACCAAAGTTTTTTCTATACATACGTGTGCGTAAGCTTTTTAATGACAGATCCTAATTGAAAACTGATTATCAAAAAAGTTGAAATTTTTCTATGCACACATGTGTCTACCTTCTTCGTCGATCGATTACCAACGTATCTATTCTCAAAAAATTTATAAATCATACCACATTTTGTTCGTCTAGCCATGGGTTTCAGGTCCTAAATCAATTTTCAAAAACCGTTAACTCATATATATCTCACTTTGTTAGTCTCGTCATGCGCTTTAAAAATCCTAAATTAATTTTAAAGATTGATTAGAAATTCATCTTTAATTGAGTAAAAATAATTGTGTCATGTTCGAGCTTTCCATACAAGAGAAAAATTGTTAGCTTCGTGTATTTTGGGAGGTAATATGTCAATAACAAAAAAAAAGTTTTTAGGACAAAGTCAAAAAACTTGCATATTTCGGGAGGTAAAAATAATCCTTCATGTAAATTTGTGGGTGCCTTTATAGATATCTTCCAAGTTCCAACTTTTTCGTGAACAGGATGATATACCACTCAGAATAGCTTAGGAAACTGGCCTGATCGGTTAGCTTGGATACGGCCAGTTCAAGGGAGCTTAGCTGGTTCTTGGTATATAACCTAGTCGGGGAGCTCGCTTAGGCAACTCAAGGTACATGTTGGCCTAGTCAGGAAGCTCGGAGGTTGCTGATCTCTAAGAGCTCGGAGACCTCATGGCCCAGAGGTTGTGATGGTGGAGGTCTTGGTTACGACCTAGTGATAGCTTATGGCGGGTAGGTGGGGAGGTCGTTCAGATGACCTAAAGGACGTAAGAGTTGTATGGTAAAAATCTTTTAAGGATGGAAAGAGTATCGTGCTAGAGATGCTTGGATACAAATTTCTTCAAAAAAAATTCAACCATTTTAACCATCATTTTTTTTAACTCAACCCCGCTATCCTCAATATTATCAATATAATTAAATAATATCACTCAATCATTCTTACACATTACATCAACTTTAATTCACTCATATAATTTTAACTAACCATCATTTCATATCATCTCTCTCCTACGTTTACATCAAATCAACTTTAGTTATTTATTTTAAATATTATTTAATATAAACTCAAAATCCCACTAACAACTAACCGTACCACTTTTTTCAAAATTAACCATACCAAACCAAAAAATTCAAACAAAACCAAAAAAATCTATATCCAAGCATCAAGGAGTCTTAAGTTTCCAGAGACGTGGTAAGCTAGAAAAGTAGATACAATTAGATCTTTTTCCTAGTCATGGTTCTCTTGATGCTTTACTTAACAACGCATATTTTGCACACTTAAGCATACATTCTCTTGTTTGTTCTCACAAACACATGTTGACTTGAGCCTCAAAGGTTTTCCTCGCCAGGACCCCTCACCGACATATTGTAGTACATCGAAGCTTGGGATCGACGTTCGTCAGTGGTGTTTTCGGTTCAGCCCCGTCCGTGATAAATTTGTGTATCACAGGAAAACACAAATTTGCGTTTATTTCGGAAAAAATCGTAGAACACCATTTGCGTTTTGAGTTTGGGTTACATCTATGGTGCTTTTATCGTTTTATTCCAACTTTTGGGATAACGCATTTTGCATTTGGATTGGATTCGATTGCAACAAAGTTCTAATTTATTTTTATTTTAATTTTACATTTGTGTGTGTGAATGTCGTTCTGTTGGAGTCGGTTTAACTACCAAAATAATGTATTAGTATATTGAAATATTACATGATTTTAACACGTATGTGATGGATACATCTTACTATACTTACTATAATTAGGTGAATTTTTTTTTTTTTTTNCAACAATAAAAACTATATATATAACAAAGCAAGTACATATTAGTCAAAGCAAGTATATATAATTAGGTGAATAATTTTAATAATTAAAAATATTGATGTCATTTCATTCAATACCTATAGCCTACGTCGAGAATAGTTTTAATAATTAAAAATATTGATGTCATTCAATATCTATGGCCTACGTAAAAGTATGCGGATGTTTTAAGGATTGGAGAAGTCATAACAATATGATTGTCATAATAATATGATTGATTATGAAGATGAAATTTTGATTGAACACTATAATGGGTTATGATAATAAAGTGGAATTGTTTGATAAAGGATTATAAGGCCTTTTAGGCAATTTTCATATTTTTTTTTCTTTCCCCTAAGGTTATCTCCACCAGCAGGTATGAAAATTCAATTCATTGTATGTTTGATTGGACTGTCATTGTTTACCCAACCTAATCTAAAAGTCTAGACAATATTCATCATATCAGAAAGTCTATAGAGCCATCCACACCTTTATGTATTGACATGTGTCCAATGTATATTTATCGCAGGACACGTGTCAATACACCATTCACGAAAAACTATGGATGACTCCATAAGCCGAGTCATCCGATGACTCCATAGCAAAACCGTTCAGTAATGCTAAGGAGCTAATTGTTGGCTCCGTTATGAAGCCAACAACCAATGGGACAGGTCCATGTAGGGCTGTCCCACATGGCTCCAATATAGGACAACCCCACATGGAGCTATCTCATTGGCTGTTGACTCCATAACGGAGCCAACAGTTGACTCCTTAGCATTATTGCTAGTTCTGTCCCATTAGTTTTTGTTTTTATTTCCACGCAACACGTGATTGGATATAATTTTTCAACCAAAAAAAATAACTTCCCATTTATTTATGTTTTTTTTATATTATCCAAAAAATTAAAATATAAATCAATCATT